AAATCCGTTTGGATTGGTTGTGAGTTTGTATAGAACTAATTAATTCTAACTTAAATGTTCCCCAAGAATCTGCGGAAGCGCCGCAACCGTGGGATCGCTGATTCAGTGGCTCGTGCCCGGTGCATCCCGCCAACTACTCAGCGTCTTAGGTTTTGTATTTTATTTGTTCAGACTGCTGATTCGTAGAGTTGAATCCTGTCCTGCAACTTTTTTTGTCTCCACGCTAACATTGATGTATGTACATACATACCTGTTAAAACTTTCCAACTAATACATTATTCCTTTTGACTTGGTTGACGCGGAATGGATTAGGGCTATGGATAGTTAGTAATGTTTAAGTTTAGCGCCGCTAGAGATCGTGTTATTCGGTCACTCTAAACGGGGCTATGACGAACTTACATTTGGCGTGCTAAGTCATACCGATTTGTGCTATCACAAAGAGAGTCAAGGAAAACTTTGTATTCTAGGTTAAGTTGTCTGAATCACAATATAGTCATTGAGTGTTCGGAAGGCATTTCCGTGATCGGCTAAGCGGCGTCATTTCCTTTTATTCGCACTTTGCGAGAAGATACCCACGAAGCACCGACTGGACGTCTCGGCTGTTCCCGCAACTGCGACCCCACGGTCAAAGCAACTGGCAACCCGGCCAGCTCTGCGAGTTTGGCCGGTGATCGGCAGCGGCCACAGACTTCGAAGGAAATTGGAACAGCTGCCTGAAAGCGGCAAGAAACCTGCAGCTCAATGTGACGGGGCAGATTACGGACTACACGGCTGTACAAGTAGCGGCTCTAATTGAAAGGATCGCACATCTAGAGTCGGAGTTGGTGAAACCAAATTCAAGTGGGGGATAAGCAGAGGCCGCCAGGGATCCCGTTGAACTCGGAGCACGCGGCGTTGCGGTGGGCGGTGTGCCGAATACACGGCCATGTCTGCCCAGGCAGATAATGGTAATCTGCAAGTGGAGCTTGTAGTGACGCCATGCTTTGACGAGCCGTTGCCGGCACATTTAGTGGAAAATTTGGCGTCAACACTGACATATACACAAACAACTGTGAGCTATTCTCCGCCATTTTGTGTTAACGCCACGGCGCAGCCTGAACTAGGTTATGTTCACCCATCACGGGAGGCGACACACAATTTGGAGGTATCGACACCAACGCCCTAATCTTATGTTGCGACGGTGAGCATACCTGGATAAATCGAGGGTCAGCCAGAGAAATGGCCAATATTCCTGTGCGCGTTCACGGAGACAACGGCAGCTTACCAGTGCACAAAATTGGTGCGCCTTGTAAAACCCTCGGGTCGGGGATTCAACTTCTACAAATGTCGAATGAGGCGTCACTATCTACTCCATAAATCAGCTGGACACCCCAGACGGCCGCCAGTCGCAGATGGAGGCTGCAGGAGGGATCAGAAGAACAGTCAAGACCGGCAACTGTACAGAAACAGCAGCAGCAGCATATACGCGAGGAAGATGAATAGGGACCGACGGGCAACCGCCAAGATTTATCGCACCGTATCTTTTTCGAATTCTACACGTAACGTTGTAGGGGAGAATACGCAGGTTGATACCTACGCACTGCTGAATGAAGGATCGTCTATCATGCTCATCGAAGACGTACTTATCGGCAGCCTGAAACTGAAAGGCGACAGTCGACAAATGAAGTAGTTTGGCGGAAAATATGCCAAAGAATGCAATAGAATGGTTAGCCTGCAGATCAGTGCAGCGGGCAAGCCAAAGCGGCATGGGCTAAAGAACGTGTACGGTGTAGCCAATTTGAGCCGACGATATGAGACTGGGCTTCTATGGAAAGACGACGAGGTGAGACTGACAGAGAGCGTCCGTATCGCACTCAAAAGACTCGTCAACATCGAACGGAAAATGAATAATGGCTGATTATGCAAAAAAAAAAAGGATACGCACGACGTCTGGAGCCCCAGGAAGTCTCAGGAAGGCAAGGTATGGTAGGTGCCGCAACCTGAAAAACCAGAACAAGCCCCGAAAAATCCGGCTGCTCTTCGACGCGGTGAGCAGGAGTGTCACTGAATTTAGCGCTAATAAAAGGCCCACAGCTACAAGGAGCAGTTCGGCTTTGTGCAGATATAAAGGAGATATTCCTTCAGGTATTAATTCAGTATATATCGTCGGAAGCCCTAAAAAACACGAGCTGCTACCAAAGGAGTTAGCCACAGACTTTGAGAACTGGCGGCAAAAAAATGAGCAGGATTGAGAAGTTCCGATGTCCTTGCTATTACTTCGGTATGGAGTAGTGCCAACGCTACAGTAGAACATCTTCGTTGATTCCAGCCAATCGGCGTTCTCAGCAGAGTCCTAATGGTGGGACACATTTGAACGGATGCACGGAGACGTGCAGGCGCCTTTCGTATGCTTTAAGACAAAGTGCGCTGAGGACTGCATTAATACCGGGACTGGAACTTCAAGCTGCATTATTGGGCACGAGACTGATGAATACCGTCAACCAGGATTATGGCGTGGCGACCACCGGCTGCGTATTATGGACGGACTCTAAGACCGTGCTGCACTGGATAAGCAGCACCCACCGGCGATACAAGCAGTTCGTCGGAAACCGGGTGTTAGAGATTTTAGAATTCACGAAGACGTCCCAATGGAGATCGATTCCGCTTGCTGAAAACGTGGCAGATGATGCGACGAGGCCACGCAAGGCCGTGGTCTTGAGCATTGGTTCGCGATGGCTAAGCGGTCTGGCATTTCTGCGAGGACTAGAAGAGAGCTCGGCGAGATCGAGTGAGCACTGGGTTGCCCCGACGCCACATGAAGAGATGAAATTTGAGTTTGCCTGGTCATGGCGAACTTTATATGCTTAGATAGATTTTTAAATGATTTGTGAGCAGCACCGCATGGGTGATCAGATTTATTGGACGATGCCGTTGACTAGGACGGAGTAGTGCGAGTCTGCGACGAAGCGGCGTGCGTGCCATACAGAGCGCGTGCACCGATCACAAAACGATGAGCCACCGAAACACGGAAGCAGCTATCGGAGCAATCCGGCAGAAGTTTCGGATAACGAACTTACGGAGCCTGCTTCAAAGGGTGATTAGTAAGTGCAACGTCTGCAAGCTACGGATTGCGCGACCAAGGCAGCCCGAGATGGGTCCCCTGCCAGAGTACCGTTTGGAGACCAACGGATGGCCATTTAAATATACCGGCCAACAGGGTTACTTGGGACTTGGGGATGGCTCCAGATTTGTCTACAGATTCCTGCATAATCGTAATGGGGAACTTCATATTCGGCGTGGACCGGTAGAATAAGAATAAGGAGCGACAACGGGAAGCACTTCGTTTGAGCCAATCGCGAAGCCAAGAGGAAGGACGAAGAAGAGGAAGTATCTGAATGGATCTTTAATGGCCCGGTAAACCCAGGTGAGGATGGCGCCTAGAAAAGGATGGAACAGTGCGTAAAGATGGTTCTGGCGAACACAATGAAGGAGCTCGCGCCCAAGGAGTACGTACTGTAGAACCTGTTGATTAAGACGGAGAGCATAGTGAACTCTCGCCGGCTCACCTATCCCTTACCAGTGACGGTGGACCAGTAAGCTCCACTGACACCCAAAGATTTGATAAAGAAATCCCCTATATTCCGGATCTTTGGAGGGTGACGGACAGGAATCCGAGAGATGCGCTACCAGGAAGGAATGGCGCGGAGCAATATTGATGCGGGATCGAATATATGAGTACCTGCCAACACTTGTCCGCAGCGAGGGATGGTGCAAGCACGCCGAGCTCATTCGTCGTCGAGATCTAGTGTTCATATGTGATCTGGCCATACCACGAAGTGGAAACGAGGCGTCGTGAAAGAGGAGTTCACCGGAAGAGATGGACTACCCCGTCGAGCGGCTGTGCGGACTAACACTAATTTGGCTTTTATTGACGGAATCATGGATTCCATAAATATTTAACTATTTTTGAAAAAAATTTGGTGGAAAGTGCAGAAGATTTGGGAATATAGGATAAATACCGATTCTACCAAAATAATGACCCCAAGCACACTGCTAGCAATGTAAATCTTTCGTTTGTCTGAAACTGCTCCCATCTAGTAAAAACAAAAGCACAGTTGCACAGTAAAATTCCAGTGGGATCAAAAATAAATTGTTCAATTCGTTTAAAAGTCGTCAAGAAACAAATTTGAGGTCCAACCAAGTATTAACATTAGGAATTAATTTAATATTTTTTAAAGCTGGCACAAAACAAGCTTGCGCATCCGCAAGCTACATAGTTCAGTAGCGGTGTTTTTATTCTCGCACGAAATAAGCTTTTTTCAGTTGAAACATCTTGATATTTATTCCAAATATTTTTCTCCAGATTTTTGGGTACGCTAAGGGCTTTGAACTATTCAGTCAGAAACAAAAAGAAAACTTATAGTCTTGTCAATTATTAAAAAATGCTCCGATTCGAAAAATCGATATAATTTGAATATAAAATATTATTAACAGTAAAACTAAAACTTAAAAAAAATATTATGGACGCTATTATTTATCGCGAAATGTTGGTCTTAGCGTGGCCGAATGATGAAACCGCCTAGTGCTGGACTGGCATGTTAAGAATATACATACATATGTATGTATATACACAGTTACATATGCATTTATGTATGTAGATCACTGCGTGCCTACAGAAAGGGTCGCAGGGATTCGGATTCGTTAGGTGATGATAGAGTGGACGCCATCTTATAGGCGATGAAACAATATCACGTATGGCTAACGGATCTTATATTTTTTTTTTAATATTTTGCCTGCGCTGTCATCTCTAGAATTCGCCTCATTCTTATTTTTGTTCAATTGAGTTAAAAACCATTACGGTGAAAGCGATTAGGCAGCTGAGGGGAAGTAAATGAAAAATTTAATATAAATCAATAAACCTGTATTTGTAACTTTAAAAAAAACTCATATTGTATTTCTACACAGAAAAATGTTTTGGTATATTTTTGGTTTTCGCCGTATGTATGAGATGTCGCGTTGTGGTCACACTATTCTCCATTATATGTTTAATGCTGTCTTATAATATCATACTTTGTGTCAGACCTAAATTGGTAGCGCAGGAGTCAGACAGAACATCAAAAGAACGATGGCCGAGCTCCCGAAAGAACTTCAGCAACTCTTTGCGTAAGTATAAGCGTATTAAGCTAAAATGAGTTTAATGTGTGCACTTCTGCCCTGCATACTCAAAAAATCCATGGGTAAACAATACTGTTTTCGGAAACGGCATCTTGGCATCGAACTTAGAATTGATAATAATTTATAATCCTTGACATATAACGTGGTAGCAAAACATTCGTTCTGAAAGAATCTTACTAATATTCAAGCTCTCGATCTCTGGAGAGAAATGGGTGAATATGCTAAAACGTCATATCTTTATGTGGTTAATGGTTTATCTGCATTTTATTAGCGATCTGACTGTCTAACACTGTGGTGCTTAAATTCGTCTTACGATATTTAGTAATGCTTTCGTGTTGGTTTGTAGCTGTATAATAAGAGAAAGAAAACACATTTTTTTCTAACCAATTTATCGCGTCGATGGCACACTGTGCAAACTGTGAAGCAAACTCTAAATTGCAAATGGAAGTTTTAAAGAATGAATTTCAGTGTAAAGGTTTGATGACGCTCCTGGAAAAAACAATATTAAAATATATTGCAGTTGGCGACGAAATGAGGCGGAAAGAGGAAAACTAAACATTGTTGGTGGAATAGCGCTGCGAGCGCTTAAAGCCGAGCAACCCCATATGCAGCGAGCATTTACTAAAAACAAATTAGCTCTCAGAGCACAGGCGTTGAGCACCCCTGGTCTTAAATTAAAAAGTTTGCTCTTATCGCCACAGATAAAAAATCTACATTCACAAACCTAATTTATAGCATATCCCCTGAGCTGAGACCAGAATTCTTCTAGATGGGTTTACATAACAGCATTTATCAGCTTAATAAACCCATTCATACATATTTAATAGTTTAACTTTAATCGCTTTTCAGATTTATTGACGCAAAAAAAGGTGATTACATTGAAGCCCTAAAAACTGTTGTGGGAATTCAGTCTGTTTCGGCGTGGCCCGATAAGCGCGGCGAGATTGATATCATGGTAGACTGGACAGCGAATCGACTAAAGAGCCTGGGCGCCGAGATAGAACTGGCAGATGTCGGTCAGCAGAAATTGTCAAGCGGCCAGATAATTCCTCTGCCGAAGGTTTTACTCGGCACTCTGGGCAAAGAAGTTTCAAAGAAGACAGTGTTAGTCTATGGTCACTTGGATGTGCAGCCTGCCCTAAAGGAAGATGGATGGAAAACTAATCCTTTCGAGCTTACCGAAGTGGACGGTAAGTTGTTTGGGCGAGGATCGTCTGACGATAAGGGACCCGTACTTTGCTGGATTCACGCTATCGAGGCTTACCAAAAGCTCAATATTCCACTGCCACTGAATGTGAAATTCGTTTTTGAGGGGATGGAGGAGAGCGGCAGCGAAGGCCTCGACAACTTGTTGATGGAACGCAAGAATGAGTTCCTAGCTGGTGTTGATTATGTCTGTATTTCTGACAACTATTGGCTTGGGAAAAAACGTCCATGCCTTACATATGGGCTCCGTGGACTAGCCTACTTCCAAGTAGAGGTGGAATGCTCAAATAAAGACTTGCACAGTGGAGTATTTGGGGGCACTGTTCACGAAGCTATGCCGGATCTGTGTTACTTGCTTAGCGTTCTCGTTGACAAGAACACAAAAATCTTGATCCCTGGAATTGATCGTGACGTGAGTACTTTGTAGAACTAACACAAAAATTGTATTGGTATTACAAAATTTTTTCGCACTAAAGGTGGCTCCCCCGTTAAAAAACGAGCTATCAATGTATGAGAGCATTGACTTCGATGTTTCTGAGTACAAGTTAGTTTATCTTATCTTTCTCATGCGTTCATAAATGTCTAATTCGTTTTTTTTTTTGTTTTAGAAAAGACATTGGTGTGGACCAACTGCCGCATAATGGCGACAAAACCAGGCTGCTTCAAGCCAGGTTTCGTTTTCCCAGCCTCTCTGTCCATGGAATCGAGGGTGCATTCTATGAGCCAGGCGCGAAGACCGTCATTCCGAAAAAGGTGATTGGCAAATTTTCCATTCGCCTTGTGCCTGACCAAAACCCAACGCACATTGAGGAGTGTGTTGTTAAATACCTTAACGATAAATGGACTGAGCGTGGCTCACCAAACAAAATGAAGGTTTGACTTAGTACCACTGTTTCCCTTTGGTGTAGTTTTAAATTAGTATGATTAAAGGTAACTATGCTTTCGGCTGGCAAACCCTGGACAGAGGATCCAAACCATCCGCATTATGAGGCTGCGAAACGCGCCATAAAACATGTTTTTGATGTAGAACCCGATATGACTCGCGAGGGGGGATCCATTCCCGTAACATTAACATTGCAGGAAGCTACTGGCAAAAACGTCATCCTTGTGCCAGTGGGAGCATGCGACGACGGTGCCCACTCTCAAAATGAAAAAATAGATATATACAACTACATTGAAGGCGTAAGCTAGGATAGCGGCATATCTACACAAATTGAAACTTTTATTTTTTTAGACTAAGCTGCTTGGCGCCTACCTGCACGAAGTTGGAAAATTATAAAAACTAGCTGATGAAATACAACAAGAATATCAGATTTATACTCTTATACTTGCAAAAAAATGCCGTTAAATAAATATTACATTGAGCAATTACTAAAAATATTTCGAATTGAAGTACTACTTAAATTAAAAAGGTGTCATGTTAAGCATTGCGGAATGAAGTCGTGTAAATAGCTGACTAGCTAGAGATAATCAGACCCAAGTCCTTTTGGTTAAAAACAAAAACTGATATAAAAAAGTACAGTTCCGCGATTACAAAATACCCGTATTTGAGTTATTGAAACGCCATGTACAATTATACGAGACGCACTTATTTCCAGAACCAGATATATGTATTTATTCCATAATGATGACGTCACTGACCATGTCTATAACCTACACTTTTTAATTTATTGTGAAATGTTCCGAGTTGATTAAATTTGAGTAAACTAAAAATAAAATATTAGGTTGTCAAAAAAGTCTTGCGGTATTTTCGCTAGTTTTAGTTGTAGTAGTTGTTGTATTATTCGTCGCATCAGGTCATACTATACCTTTTTGGAAAGCTCATTTCACGCGCTAACACGTATTTTGCCGAAGGTTTTACTCCTCACTCTGGGCAAAGAAGTTTCAAAGAAGACAGTGTTAGTCTATGGCCACTTGGATGTGCAGCCTGCCCTAAAGGAAGATGGATGGAAAACTAATCCTTTCGAGCTTACCGATAAGGACGGTAAGTTGTTTAGGCGAGGATCGTCTGACGATAAGGGACCCGTACTTTGCTGGAATCACGCTATCGAGGCTTACGAAAAGCTCAATGAATGAATGTGAAATTCATTTTTGAGGGGATGGAGGAGCGCGGCAGCGAAGGCCTCGACAACTTGTTGATGGAACGCAAGAATGAGTTCCTAGCTGGTGTTGATTATGTCTGTATTTCTGACAACTATTGGCTTGGGAAAAAACGTCCATGCCTTACATATGGGCTCCGTGGACTAGCCTACTTCCAAGTAGAGGTGGAATGATCAAATAAAGACTTGCACTGTGGAGTATTTGGGAGGAACTGTTCACGAAGCTATGCCGGATCTGTGTCACTTGCTTAGCGTTCTCTTTGACAAGAACACAAAAATCTTGATCCCTGGAATTGATCGTGACGTGAGTACTTTGTAGAACTAACACAAAAATTGTATTGGTATTACAAAATTTTTTCGCACTAAAGGTGGCTCCCCCGTTAAAAAACGAGCTATCAATGTATGAGAGCATTGACTTCGATGTTTCTGAGTACAAGTTAGTTTATCTTATCTTTCTCATGCGTTCATAAATGTCTAATTCGTTTTTTTTTTTGTTTTAGAAAAGACATTGGTGTGGACCAACTGCCGCATAATGGCGACAAAACCAGGCTGCTTCAAGCCAGGTTTCGTTTTCCCAGCCTCTCTGTCCATGGAATCGAGGGTGCATTCTATGAGCCAGGCGCGAAGACCGTCATTCCGAAAAAGGTGATTGGCAAATTTTCCATTCGCCTTGTGCCTGACCAAAACCCAACGCACATTGAGGAGTGTGTTGTTAAATACCTTAACGATAAATGGACTGAGCGTGGCTCACCAAACAAAATGAAGGTTTGACTTAGTACCACTGTTTCCCTTTGGTGTAGTTTTAAATTAGTATGATTAAAGGTAACTATGCTTTCGGCTGGCAAACCCTGGACAGAGGATCCAAACCATCCGCATTATGAGGCTGCGAAACGCGCCATAAAACATGTTTTTGATGTAGAACCCGATATGACTCGCGAGGGGGGATCCATTCCCGTAACATTAACATTGCAGGAAGCTACTGGCAAAAACGTCATCCTTGTGCCAGTGGGAGCATGCGACGACGGTGCCCACTCTCAAAATGAAAAAATAGATATATACAACTACATTGAAGGCGTAAGCTAGGATAGCGGCATATCTACACAAATTGAAACTTTTATTTTTTTAGACTAAGCTGCTTGGCGCCTACCTGCACGAAGTTGGAAAATTATAAAAACTAGCTGATGAAATACAACAAGAATATCAGATTTATACTCTTATACTTGCAAAAAAATGCCGTTAAATAAATATTACATTGAGCAATTACTAAAAATATTTCGAATTGAAGTACTACTTAAATTAAAAAGGTGTCATGTTAAGCATTGCGGAATGAAGTCGTGTAAATAGCTGACTAGCTAGAGATAATCAGACCCAAGTCCTTTTGGTTAAAAACAAAAACTGATATAAAAAAGTACAGTTCCGCGATTATGAAATACCCGTATTTGAGTTATTGAAACGCCATGTACAATTATACGAGAGGCACTTATTTCCAGAACCAGATATATGTATTTATTCCATAATGATGACGTCACTGACCATGTCTATAACCTACACTTTTTAATTTATTGTGAAATGTTCCGAGTTGATCAAATTTGAGTAAATTAAAAAGTATTGACAAAAAAGATTACAGAAGGTAAAATAAAATATTAGGTTGTCAAAAAAGTCTTGCGGTATTTTCGCTAGTTTTAGTTGTAGTAGTTGTTGTATTATTCGTCGCATCAGGTCATACTATACCTTTTTGGAAAGCTCATTTCACGCGCTAACACGTATTTTGCCGAAGGTTTTACTCCTCACTCTGGGCAAAGAAGTTTCAAAGAAGACAGTGTTAGTCTATGGCCACTTGGATGTGCAGCCTGCCCTAAAGGAAGATGGATGGAAAACTAATCCTTTCGAGCTTACCGATAAGGACGGTAAGTTGTTTAGGCGAGGATCGTCTGACGATAAGGGACCCGTACTTTGCTGGAATCACGCTATCGAGGCTTACGAAAAGCTCAATGAATGAATGTGAAATTCATTTTTGAGGGGATGGAGGAGCGCGGCAGCGAAGGCCTCGACAACTTGTTGATGGAACGCAAAAATGAGTTCCTAGGTGGTGTTGATTATGTCTGTATTTCTGACAACTATTGGCTTGGGAAAAAACGTCCATGTCTTACATATGGGCTCCGTGGCTAGCCTACTTCCAAGTAGAGGTGGAATGATCAAACAAAGACTTGCACTGTGGAGTATTTGGGAGGAACTGTTCACGAAGCTATGCCGGATCTGTGTCACTTGCTTAGCGTTCTCTTTGACAAGAACACAAAAATCTTCATTCCTGGAGTTGATCGTGACGTCAGTACTTTGTAGAACTAACACAAAAATTGTATTGGTAAGGATTAGACTAAGCTTCCTGGCGCCTACCTGCACGAAGTAGGAAAATTATAATAACTAGCTGATGAAATACAACTAGAATATCAGATTTGTACTCTTATACTTGCAAAAAAATGCCGTTAAATAAATATTACATTGAGCAATTACTAAAAATATTTCGAATTGAAGTACTACTTAAATTAAAAAGGTGTCATGTTAAGCATTGCGGAATGAAGTCGTGTAAATAGCTGACTAGCTAGAGATAATCAGACCCAAGTCCTTTTGGTTAAAAACAAAAACTGATATAAAAAAGTACAGTTCCGCGATTATGAAATACCCGTATTTGAGTTATTGAAACGCCATGTACAATTATACGAGAGGCACTTATTTCCAGAACCAGATATATGTATTTATTCCATAATGATGACGTCACTGATCACACTTTTTAATTTATTGTGAAATGTTCCGAGTTGATCAAATTTGAGTAAATTAAAAAGTATTGACAAAAAAAGATTACAGAAGGTGAAATAAAATATTAGCTTGTCAAAAAAGTCATGCGGTATTTTCGCTAGTTTGCGCTGAAAGCGCGTATTTGTTGTATTATTTGTCGCATTATACCTTTTTGGAAAGCTCATTTCACGCGCTAACACGTGTTTCGTCGAAGCTTTTACTCGGCACTCTGGGCAAAGAAGTTTCAAAGAAGACAGTGTCAGTCTATGGCCACTTGGATGTGCAGCCTGCCTGGAAGCCTGGAAGATGGATGGAAAACTAATCCTTTCGAGCTTACCGAAGTGGACGGTAAGTTGTTTGGGCGAGGATCGTCTGACGATAAGGGACCCGTACTTTGCTGGATCCACGCTATCGAGGCTTAGCAAAAGTTCAACATTCTACTGCCACTGAATGTTAAATTCGTTTTTAAGGGGATGGAGGAGAGCGGCAGCGAAGGCCTCGACAACTTGTTGATGGAATACAAGAACGAGTTCCTAGCTGGTGTTGATTATGTCTGTATTTCTGACAACTATTGGCTTGGGAAAAAACGTCCATGTCTTACAAATGGGCTCCGTGGCTAGCCTACTTCCAAGTAGAGGTGGAATGCTCAAACAAAGACTTGCACTGTGGAGTATTTGGGGGCACTGTTCACGAAGCTATGCCGGATGTGTCACTTGCTTATCGTTCTCGTTGACAAGAACATTAAAATCTTGATCCCTGGAGTTGATCGTGACGTGAGTACTTTGTAGAACTAGCACAAAAATTGAATTGGTATTACAAAATTTTTTCGCACTAAAGGTGGCTCGCCAGTTAAAAAACGAGCTATCAATATATGAGAGCATTGACTTTGATGTTTCTGAGTACAAGTTAGTTTATCTTATCTTTCTCATGCGTTCATAAATGTCTAATTCGTTTTTTTTTGTTTTATAAAAGACATTGGTGTGGACCAACTGCCGCATAATGGCGACAAAACCAGGCTGCTTCAAGTCAGGTGGCGTTTTCCCAGCCTCTGGAATCGAGGGTGCATTCTATGAGCCAGGCGCGAAGACCGTCATTCTGAAAAAGGTGATTGCCAAATTTTCCATTCGCCTTGTGCCTGACCAAAACCCAAAGCACATTGAGGAGTGTGTTGTTAAATACCTTAACGATAAATGGACTGAGCGTGGCTCACCAAACAAAATTAAGGTTTGAATTTGTACTGCACTGTTTCCCTTTGGTGTAGTTTTAAATTAGTATGATTAAAGGTAACTATGCTTTCGGCTGGCAAACCCTGGACAGAGGATCCAAACCATCCGCATTATGAGGCTGCGAAACGCACCATAAAACATGTTTTTGATGTAGAACCCGATATGACTCGCGAGGGGGGATCCATTCCCGTAACATTAACATTGCAGGAATCTACTGGCAAAAACGTCATCCTTGTGCCAGTGGGAGCATGTGACGACGGTGCCCACTCTCAAAATGAAAAATAGAAATATAAAAATTAGTTATTTTTATTGTAGAGGTTCCCTCGCTGCTGTCTCCGTGCAAAAGTCCGGTTAGTTATTTCCTTCTAAGTATTTAAGTTCACAGTGGAGGTTCCCTTGCCGCTGTCGCGGTACAAAAGTCCGGTTAGTAATTTCTCTCCAATGGTGAATTACGAAGTTTAGGATGGAAGGGTGTTCGTAACCTGCTGGCCTAGAGACTCAGTTTGTAAATGATAAAATGGTTAACGGCGGTTGGCGGAGTTATATTGAATGAGCTTGTGCTCTTTATTCGGTGAATATCAAAATTGAACTGAACTTAAAGCTAACATAAAAAGGGACTCATAGCGCCCACTCCAATGGGTAGTGCTTGCCGGCTATGCACGGGCTTCCGGCCAGACGCTGTGTAAGCAATTTGGCCGGAGCGAACTTTCGGACGATCGGTCATTGCCGTCGCCCGGTTAACTTAGTTAACTTTCCCCCCCTCAGGATTAAGGCCGCCCTCGGCTGACCCTATTTGGACGATCATATCTGCTGTCTGGGCCGCAGCTCTCCTGGCCTGGATGACTCGCCGATAGGTGAAACCGACGCAGATCAACGCGCAGCATATTGCTCCTGCCACCAGTAATATCTGATGTGAATGATAGTCGTTGATATTCTCCCCGACTCTCTTGATGTGTTCCAGATTACGCTCACTCAAGCGGTGAAGGTATGGAAGACTGAGGATGTTGTGCTCCATAGTAATATTCAGCGAGAGCAAGCTGGCTACTCCTGGGACACTCTTCTGGGCCCTGTCATTGTTGACATCGGGTTTCATTAACCATGGCACTCTCAGTAAAGGTAATGAGATGCGTGCCTCGTACATGGATGTAAGTGCCATTATCCACACTCACACGTGCCGGACGATCGTTTACAATTATGATGCCTTCATCTACGTGAGTAATTGGATGTAGATCGCTGTGCTGGATGTCACAGTGCGCTATGCCTCCAGCGTGGAGCTCTTGCGCGCACGACCTTCTTAACGCCAGCTGGCAAAATGTGGCTCCAGGTGTTGCGGAGCGATTGTTGACCGTGTGAATCGCTCCATTGCAATCAGCTATTATTTTGTCCTCCAGCCTGAGCATCGTGTCATGATGGGACACGGGAAAAACAGTGATTTTAATACACGACGATTTGATTATTAGAAATTTAATGACAAAATACAAAAGGTTAGCGGACTGTAATATTTCAACGGAAGCAACGGACAATAAGTCTTGATGGGGGTATCTGTGGGCTCTTCTATCCATATATCTTCTAGGTCTGCATGATCTAGTATAGTAGAGCTCTCAATGTTGGCCTTAGCTAGAGCTATCGCTAGTAATAAGTTTTGCAGCTCCATACTAATCATTCTATTTCGGGATAATATTCGGAAATAGTCGGAAATGGCCACCGCCGTTCTGCCAAAGATGCCAGGGCCCGCATCTGCCCCATACTGTTGGACGGACTCGACTATTGTCCTCGCATGGCTGCAGAAGCCAGCGTGTCAGTGGACAACGTTCGTGGCCAACCGGGTAGCCAAGATCGCCCAGTTCACCGACGTGCAGAAATGGGCACATGTCCGCTCTCCAAGACCTTGCGGATAACCAGTTGTGGTGGCACGGGCCTGGCTGGATGCGAGGGCCTCGCAGCGAGTGCCCCACTCAAGGCAACGAGGCCCCCGTGACTGAACTCGAGAAGCGAACAGTCAAGGTCCATGTCGCGAAGGCGCCCCCCGAAGATCTCCTTGAACGTTTCTCCACACTTGACAAGGCACTACGAGTCCTTGCCTATGTTTGTCGCTTCATCCAGCGCTCGCGGAAGATACGCTCTCCGTTCGAAGAGCACCTGACTGCTAATGAGATTACGTTGGCTGAACGTCTTCTAGTATCCGTCACTCAGCGCAGACACTTCGTCTCTGAAATGGGCTGCTTAAGCGAAAAGCGTCCAGTATCAGCGTCC